GACTTACATAGATCTAATGTACATGGGAAGTAGAAAGTATAAAAAGACAAGATCTCCTGAGTAAATTGGGAGCATGGGGACCTTGGGGGAGAATTGAAGGGGGAGGGGAGAGGCAGGGAGGGGAGCAGAGAAAAATGTAGAGCTCAATAAATATCAATTAAAAAAAGAACCCAGGAAATAAAAGTAAAATATTACCTTATAGTCATGGGTTTTATTTTAAAAATTAACACTTGACAGCATCTATTTGTTGACAAATAGAAAAAGAAAATTTCTCACCTGAGGAAAATTTCTCTACAGAAACCATGAAGCAGAAGAAAACTACAAACCTACACTCAAAAGATAATTAAATGTTGTATATTAAAAACAAGAGACTATTTTAAAAATCACCGTGAATTAGAAAGTCAGTGACATATACCTATGTGAGAATCTCCACCTTGAAGCAGTCTAAAAAGAAATAAACCAAAATCCGATAAAAAAACAAAACAGAAATATAAGAAATAAAAAAGCTAACTGAACTCTGGTGTGTACAGGGAGGCATCAAAAGTTTAGTTTTTCAAAAGTGGAACTTCCAAGTTACTCAAAGGAAAATAAACTCGAGTGAAAATGTAATAATCAAGTACATCGAAAGAAGACATTAAAGTAAAACAATGGAAAAATAAAAATGGCATTGGGAGGAGAGTAAAAAGGAAACAAAGTTAGAAAGCTACAGAAATACAAAAAAAGTAGTATCTGTGTGATTATAGCTCCTGATAAAGAACAGATTCATGCATGGTATTGTATGTGTGTAATATCAGCACTCGGGGAGCAGAGGTAGGAGAATTGCTCCAGGTTTGAGAACAGCCAGGACTACATAGCAAGGCCATCTCATAATTCCAAACAAAAATAGAAAAGAGACAATTCAAACACAAATCTTGAATAAATTTTAAAAATCACAATTTGAGGAAACCAGGTAGGTGACATACTTTCGCAGTGGACCACTCACCTAACATGTACAATACCCTGGGTTTAACCTCCAACCTCAGAGTAAAAAAAAGAAAATCTCCTTTCTTTCAGTAATAGAAAAATAGCTGAAATAGGGTTCATCAAGATATCTAGGGTAGGTATACAACATTCAGCTCTGAAATGCAGTCTACTAAATACTATTTCATTTAAAGATAAAATCATGAAGAGTTCCAAGCACAAAAGAACTAATAACTTAGAAATCCATGGCTTTGGGTTCACTTACTGCTGATGGGAATGTAAATGATACAGTCAGCCACTTTAGAACAGTCTAGCAGTTACTCATAAAGTCAAACATAGTGTTACCATATGGCCCAACTATTATTCCATTCAGGTATACATACATAACCACAATAATTGGAAATATGTCCATACAACATCTTTTTACAACAATGTTCATAGGAGTATTTATAATAGCCAAAAGGTAGAAAAACCTCAAATGTACATTAAGACATGAGTGAACAAAATGTCATACATATACAGTGGAATATCTAAGCATAAAATATGGAGTAGATATTGATACATGTTACAACATAGATGAACCTCAAAGCATAAATTTCATTGATGGAGGAGGGTCATCTGTCTATGTGTTACTTTCATTGGTTAATAAAGAAACTTCCTTGGCCCTTTGATAGAACAGAAAATTAGGTAGGCGGGGAAGACAGAACAGAATGCTGAGAGAAAGAAGGCAGTGAAGCAGTCTCCATGATTCTCCTACCCGAGACGGATGTAGGCTAAAATCCTTCCCGGTAAGCCACCACCTCGTGGTACTACATACATTAATAGAAATGGGTTAGTCAAGATGTGAGAATTAGCCAATAAGAGGCTGAAACTAATGGGCCAGGCAGTGTTTAAATGAATACAGTTTCCGTGTAATTATTTTGGGTAAAGCTAGCCGTGCGGGAGCCGGGCGGCAGGAAGCAGCCCTCAGCTCCCACTACATTTCATTTAGCTAAAATATCCCAGCACTCAGGAGATAGAGGCAAGCAGATCTCAGTGAGTTCAAGGCCAGCCTGGTCTACAAAGCAAGTTCCAGGACAGCCAGGGCTACTTCTACAGAGAAACCCTGTATTGAAAAACAAAACAAAACAAAACAAAAAAAAATTCAAAGAAACGGAATGATGGCTAATGTTTTTTCTTTAGGTTTTTTTTTTTTTTGGAACAGGGCTCCCTGTCAGGAAGGCTGGCCTCACACCTGCTGTGTAGGTGAGGATGATGACATTCAACTCCTAGTCCTCCCTTCTTATATCTCCCAAGTTCTGGGATTCTAGACATCCACCATCACACCTAACAAGAACTTTTTGGGTGAAGAACTATTCTGGAATTAGATTTATGATAATGTGTGTACAACTGTATGAAAATACTAAAAATACTGAACTGTACACTTAAAATGGGTGAATTATGCAAAAAAGATTCCACACTAAATGAAAATTTAGTATTTACAAATGCAATGAATAAAAATTCTCAAGTAAAGCCTTTGCAACAAGAAAACACAGGAATATGTGTGCTTAGAGGAAAGGGAAAAGCAGAAGTGAGGAGATCACACGTGGATTATTCTGATGGTCACAGAAAGCATGTTACCTTATCACCAGTTCTTCAGTAAGTGCATACAGAACTCCACTGCTGCTTATCATTCGTATAATTTGGTTACATGGGATAAAGTAATTCCTATCTTTCTCACACAAAGAAAAACAGAAAAGTAAACATATTAGAAAAAGGTTAAATACAAACATAGGCCATTAAAACAAAAATACTAATGTTCCCAGGGACTGGGGAGATGGCTAAGTAGGTAAAGTTCTTGCCATACAAGCACAGGGACTTGTTGGATCCCCAGAACCCATGAAAAACAAAAACAAAAACAAAAACGAGGGGAAGCTTACAAGTCTTTCTTCCATATGCATGCCATGGCATGAACATGCAAATACATACTAAGTGTAAAAATGATGAGTTTTTTTAATTTTTTTTTACTTTATATATATTGTGCTGGTCTGCATACATGTTTGTGTACCATATGTGCACATGGAACCCACTAAGGTCAGAAAAGGTCATCAGATAAACTGGAACGGGCATTTCAATAGTTGGGAACAATCATGTGGATGCTGCAAACAAAATCCAAGTTCTTTATAAGAGAAACAAGTGCTCTTAATTGGTGATTCATTTCTTCAGGCATAAAGAACTGTTTATTTAAAATTAAAAAAAATATTGACAATGAAGCAAGCATAGTGGCTCACATGGTGGCTCAGCACTTTGGAGGCTGAAACTGGAAGATAGCTATGAGTTTTAGGCCACCCTGGGCTACACAGAGTCTAAAGTCAGCCTTGATTATAAAGTAATACCCTGTCTTAAGTGAGGTGTGTGTGTGTGTACACAAATGCAAAGACTAAGTAATCAAATTCTATGAGATGCACTAAAAACAGTGACCAGCTAAAAAATTATGAGACTGAATCTCCATCATAAACACTCCATCAATAAAATGTTTGCCAAGTAAGCATGAGGACCTGAGTTCATCTCCCTATCACCTACATAAAAAGCTGGTCCAGAAGCACAACTGTAATCCCTGGGCTGCAAAGGCATTTGCTCGCCAGCTAATCTAGCACAATTAATGAATTGCAGGTTTAGTGAAAGACTCTGTCTCAAAAATAAGACAGGACAATGAGCTGGCTCAGCAGACAAAGATGCTTTGTATATAAATAAGCATGGCAAATGAGTGTGATCCCCCAAACCAAAGGTAGATGAAGAGAACTGATTCCACGCTGTCATCTGACCTCCACATATGTCCCAGCATATATGTGAGTGCACACCTGAACTCTAACAGTAAATAAAAATTTAAAAAATAAGATAGACAACTATCAAAGAAGACAATTGATATCAAACCTCTGGCCTTAACATGCATGCAACACTGACATAAATACACACACACAAATTCATTGTAATAAACACAATACAAATAAATACTACAAATAAATAGTAAAATAGTACAAATGAATAATAAAATCAGTACAAATTAAAGACTAAATATGCGTCATTTATAAGATATTAAACACTTAAAATAGCAAAGAAAAGAGGCTGGGATGAAGTTTAGTTAGCATAGTGCTTGCCTAACATGCATGAAACCCTAAGGTTCAGTCACCAGAACCACATAAATCAGTAGTTCTCAACCTGTGGGTCACAACCCCTCTTGGGTTGTCAAGTAGCCAGTTCACAGGGGTTACCTAGGATTAGCAGAAAACATAGATATTTAGCAAAATTACAGTTATGAAGCAGCAACAAAAATAATCTTGTGATTGGTGGTCACTATAACATGAGGAACTATATTCAAGGGTCACAGAATTTAGGAAGGTTGAGAACCACTGATATAAATGAAGTGTGATGCACACATACCCCTAATACTACTTAAAGAGACACAGGCAAAAGGATTACAAATTTGGAGTCAAGACGGTCTAAATGAGACTGTCTCAAAAAACAAAGGAAAAGTCAGATGGTGGTGGTTCATACCTTTAATCCCAGCACTCGGGAGGCAGAGGCTCTGTGAGTTCGAGCACAGCCTGGTCTACAAGAGCTAGTTCCAGGACAGCTAGGACTGTTACAAAGAGAAACTCTGCCTCGGGAAAAAAAGAGATAGACAGAAAGAGAGAGAAAGAAAAGAAATAAAAGGGGAGCTATGTTCAATATACAATTTATCAAACTTAAGAGTATGAAAGAGTGTGGTGTGGGGTCAAAGAGTACTATAGAATAGTTTTTGAAACTATATCTTTTTATTTGGCATTTTTGGTTTTTTTTTTTCTTCATCTGATTTTTTCAAGACAAGGTCTCACTATATAGCTCTGACCTGGAACTCTGTAGACCAGGCTCGTCTCTAACTCAAAGAGATCTCCCTGCCTCTACCTCCCTGGTGCTAGGATTAAAGGTGTTCACCACTATGCCCAGGGAAATTGGGTCTTAATAAAGTGCCTAGGATGGCCTCAAACTTGTGACTGTTAGCCAGACATGGTGCTACATACCTGTAATCCAGACACTCAGTACCCGAGGCAAGATTGGGCTTCACAGTGACAACCTGCTTGACACACACACACACAAACAACAACAAAAAAAATCAAAACCTGAGGGTTAGTGATACAGCTAAGTAGGTAGAGTGATTGCCTGGCATACAGGAAATACTGGGCTCAATTCACAGTACTGGAAGAAGCACACGCACACACCTGAATCTGCAACCTTTTTTGTTTATTTGTTTGTTTTTTTTTTTTGAGACAGGGTTTCTCTAGCTTTGGAGCCTGTCCTGGAACTCTCTCGGTAGACCAGGCTGGCCTCGAACTCACAGAGATCCGCCTGCCTCTGCCACTGTCTGTGCCACCACCTCCCAGGTTGTATCTATAATCTTTTGACTCTAACTTTTGAGTGCTGAAAATTGAATTCATGGCTTCAAACATGCTAAGCAAGTTCTCTATCAACTGAAATCCATGCCTAGCCCCAGAACAGCTTTCAAAAACTCTAACTTTTTTTTGTGTGATTGTGGGCATGTCCTTCCTTGTATGTGTGTTCATGTGTATGCAACCATGTGGAGACCAGAAATAGCCATCTTCCTCAATAGCACTCCACCTTATTTGTGTTAGACAGGGGTCTTCCATTTCAAGTTACCTGGATGGTCCCCAGGGACCCTCCTCCCTGTGCCTCCTGAGAGCTGGAGTTAGAGGTAACTGCAGCTCTGGCTTTTTATTTGGGTACTGGGGATCTGAACTCAGGTCCTCATGATTAGTCATTTTCCCCAGTCCCAAGAAATTTAAATTTTTATGTGCCTAGCTGGGTGATGGTGGTGGCACTCGCCTTTAATCCCAGCACTTGGGAGGCAGAGGCAGGCCTGGTTTACAGAGCTAGTTTCAGGACAGCTAGGGCTGTTAGAGACATACCCTGTCTCAAAAAACTAAATAAATAAACGAAATTGTGTGCTACAAAATGTTCCTGTGCTCTGAAATTTTTACAAGAAAGCAAAAACTGCAATAAGACAAGGTATATGAAATGTACTTTCCATAAATGTCTCATATGATCCTGAAAGAAAGGTAAGGCAAACACATTATAACACCTTGTCCATTGTTGAGGAAATACCTTAGAAAAAGTAAAGTGATTTGGCCAAGGTAATGAAATAATATAATTCAAAGGTCATAACTTCAAATGCCTTGCTCACTTCTAAAAACACTAAACTATTTTTCTTTTTACAAAAGTGAACTAAATAAGAAGCTGAAGTGCTACCAATAAACAAGGAAAATAAAACAGGCATGTCTAATATTTTCCTGTAGTCCACTGTTTAGAAGCCAGAAGCAGAAGAATCAGAAGTTCAAGGCTAGACTTAGCACACTGTGCGATCAAGACTTTGGCGGGGGGGGGGGGGGGGGGGGGGATACCTGGCAGTGGTGGCTGGACTTCCGGGACTCGGGAGGAGGCAGAGACAGAGGGAACTCTGTGAGTTCGAGGCTAGCCTGGTCTACAAAGCGAGTTCCAGGGCAGGCTCCAAAACTATGCAGAAACCCTGTCTCAAAAAATAAAAATAAAAAAAAGAAGAAGGAAGGAAGGAAGAAAAAAACCAACATAAGTTAGAGTTTTTGAAAGCTTATGAAAACTTATAAAATTACAGAAAAGCCTTTTTTAGATTTTTTTGAACCTGTTCACACCTAGGGGAAAAAAAGACGTTAAAAAACGTGCCTGGCAGTGCAGGCCTTATAATCCCAATTACACTACTCTAGAAAGTTCGAAGCCTTCTTGACCTATAGAATGAGTTACACAGCAGCCTGAGGTGAGAGCGGCTGTGTCTGCACAGATACACATCTGTCTCTGGTGGAGTGCTCTCTTGCCATGGGGGATGGCCTAACTTTAACCCCTGGGGCTACAAAAGAAAAAAATGTGCTCCAAAGGTTGCCTGACAGGAATCTCACGGAGCCCATTTTCTACTAGTAGTAGGTAATGTGTTCCAGAAAAGCTACCACTTAAGGTGTACCTCCCAAAGTCCCCCTCCAAAGGAAACTATTTCGGGGACTAAGTTTCTCCAGGGCAGTCCTGCCAGTGGCACAGGTGACTAAAATCCTCCCAGCCGTCTTCCCTTACTCTTCGGCTTTCCCCAGGGAAGACCCGGCGACGGCGGCCAGTGTCTCCCGCGGACAAAGTGGGCACTTGGGTCCCGCGGGCGGACACGTCCCGGGGCCGCCTGAGGAACCAGCGCTCCATCCCCGGGGCACCGCCCCCTTCCTGGTCCCCAGGATGGACACTCCGAGAACGGAGCCGCCACCTGCCCGACGCTGTGGGCGGGGAAGGCAGAGGCAGCGGGCAGGTGTCGCCTTGGGCGCCGCGGGCAAGGCACTGGTGGCGACAGTCACCTATCGCCCGGAGAGCCAGGCGCCCTGAGGCGCACCGGCGGCCGCCACAGAGGGAAGGCGGTGGCCAGGCAAGAAGAGAGAAGGGACGCGGTCCCCGAAGAAGCCTAGCCTGCCCGCCACCCGATCCCAGCCGCTTCATCCCAGCCGCCCCATCCCTGCCGCCCGAACCCTGCCACCCCTTCCCTGCCGCCCCATCCTGGCCACCCCATCCCGGCCGCCCGATCCCTGGCACCCCATCCCGGCCACCCGATCCCTGCCACCCCATCCCGGCCGCCCCATCCCTGCCACCCCATCCCGGCCGCCCCATCCCTGCCACCCCATCCCAGCTGCCCCATCCCGGCCGCCAGATCCCTGCCACCCCATCCCGGCCACCCCTCCAGCCTCTATGAGAACTGCCTCTCCCGAGCGAAGGACACACCCTCCTTCCCCGGCAGGCCGGGGCCTCCTTGCTCTGTCTGCTCCTGGACCACTCACCCCGCAGTGAAGCCGCCGTCGCATTCAACACCAGAGCCGCTTCAGGTTCCTCCAGGCCTCGCCCCTTGCTCAGCTCCCGCCTCCTGCTCCAACAGCACCCAGGCGCCCTCGTGGTTCTAGGAGAGGAACCACTTCCTTCCGGAATGGTCCGGCTCCAACCCCGCCCTGGACACGCCCCCGCCCCGCCCCAGCACCGCCCACCGTGTCCTCCTCCTCCTCCAGCCAAACTGGTTCTCACAGAGAAGCCCGGGCTTCGCGCCCCGCCCGGGCTGCCCCAGAGGGCGCTCTAGCGCGCATGGCTGGCTGTGCTCACCTCCATTCCCTGAGAGTGCCCCTCAAATCCTCAGGCTGGAGAAAAGGAACATACTGGATGGTGCAAGGCCTGAGTTCTTTGGAGTTGAGGAAAGGATCGCGGCCTCGAGGTCAGCCCTCAGGTTGGTTCCCTGCCTTGTGTGCAGATCGAGGTACCAAGGGGCAGAAGTAGCTGCCAAGCACTTCCAGCTCGACCCTCAAAGGTCTTCCAGAATCAACTTACCTGAACCTGCTTATTCTTGGTCTCCATTCCTGCCTACTTAGTTTCTAACCTGCCACCTAACTTTACCCATCTCCCATAGCCTCAAATGAAGCTTCTACTTGGAAAACAGCAACTTCTGAACTTTGCAGATAGGTTAATGGTACCCATAAATACCAGCCCCTCTCTGTTTGCTCTCCTCTTTCCTTTTCTTTCTCTCCTTTTTTATATAAACACATTTTTATTGATTCTTTGGGAATTTCACATCATGCAGCTCAGTTCCACTCTTTTCCCAGTCTTCCCATGTCTGCCGCCCACCCTTGTAGCCTCCCCACTCCCCAAAGGAAAAAGAATTCTTTTTACTTCTCTCTCTTTCCTGTCTCCTCATCGTGTGTTTATTGGCCCTAGTGGCCTTGTGAGCTGCAGTTTGTCATGCAGTAGACCCCTTTGCCCAAAGAGCTTTCCTTACAAAATATTCATTGCAACGAGTTGTTGGCCGAGTTCAAGGCCTTGGCTTCTGGTCCACCATCAATACTGGCCCATCATCTGAACTTCTCTGGGATATTTGGCTATTGGCCTAAGTCACAGAGATCCTGTGACTATGGCTAGACAGAACCAGTCAATCATGTGCTCCAGCAGGTCACAGGTCGGGTAGATGCTAGGGTAGGCCAACTCAAAACCCTGGATGCGGGCCTGAGTGGTAGCTGAGTTGTTCAGTCTGGGCCTCCACCTCAGGCAAAGGTCTAAGCCAGCTTTCCTGTGCCTAAGCCATTAGGGCCAACTCTCCCAAACAGGTGGTGAGGGGTGGGGTTAGCGCCCCTAAGTGCAGGGCCAGCTCTCCAGTAGTGGTAGCTGGCAAGGAGCGGCGACAGTTCTCCTGGGGCTGTGAAGGGTCAGGGCTAGCTCTCCTGCACCTAGTCCACTGGGGCCAGTTCTCCCGGGATGGGGTGCAACAGCTCTCTTTCTGAGGTGGCTAACGAGGGGCAGACCCAGCTCCCTGGTGCTCAGGTCAGGAGGGCCAGTTCTCCTATAACCCCTGTGTTAACACGGGCCATGGACATCAACACAACAGACCCTGGCTGTCGTAGGATCACGGGACCAGACATGACCCTCAGCCATACCTCTGGCTTGGCCTGGATGTCATCATGGCCCTACATGGCAGTGCAGGCTACTCACATCAGCATGTCCTCAAAGACAGTGTGGCCCAGAAGCCAGGCAACCACAAGGCTTTGGTGGCAACACAGGCCATGGAGATCATTACAGATTCTAGCTGTGGTAGGGCCATGGTGTTATCCCTTGGCCGGTAGCCCTAGGTTCTATAAGAAAGCAGGCTGAGCAAGTCATGAGGAGCAAGCCAGTAAATAGCTCCCCTCTATCACTTCTGCATCAGCTCCTGACTCCAGGTTCCTGCCTTACCTGAATTCTTGTCCTGGCTTCTTTCAATAATGGACTATAAGGTAGAAGTCAAAGCCAAATAAACCATTTCCTTCCAACTTGCTTATTGGCCATGGTGTTTCTTTTTTTCTTTTCTTTCTTTTTTTTTTTTTTTGGTTTTTCGAGACAGGGTTTCTCTGTGGCTTTTGGAGCCTGTCCTGGAACTAGCTCTGGAGACCAGGCTGGTCTCGAACTCACAGAGATCTGCCTGCCTCTGCCTCTGCCTCTGCCTCCCGAGTACTGGGATTAAAGGCGTGCGCCACCATCGCCCAGC